CTTGGCAGATCAATGAATTGAAACGTACTGTTGAAGATCTGGAGAAGGAGAGAGATTTCTACTTTGGCAAATTGAGGAACATTGAATTGATCTGCCAGGAGAATGAAGGGGAGAATGATCCAGTGTTGCAGAGGATTGTGGAAATTCTTTATGCCACAGATGTAAGTAATCTGTTATAAACTGGGTTGCATAGTTCCTCCCCGCCCTTGTAATTGGAAGCTGGTTTGCTTTCCAGGGCTCCTTCTAGTTCTACTTTTTTTCCCATTAGGTTTATGGCCTAGCTTTTTCCTGTAATAAAGGAGCAGATAACATAATTATAGTCAGGCAGCAAACAAGGTTAGCCTTTCATGAGGAGTATGTAACAGATAGATCAAAGATGAGGAAAATACTCCTGGTAATACATCTCGACACTGTAAATAGTGACTTAAGGGTATCTATCTGAAGTAAAAGGGGGGGAAAAAAAAAGCCTGCAGAGTAGCCAGGAACTGGTTTGACATCAGATTTTCATTACAGCACTTGTTTTCTTCCCCTTCAGGAGGGCTTTGTGATACCTGACGAAGGAGCACTGCAGGAGGAGCAAGAAGAGTATTAACAGACCACATACTGTACCAGCAGAGCAGCAACATCAGAATTCTTTGCCCCAGATCATGTGCTTAACTGTAAAATACTCCACTTTATTCTTAGAGGACTCACTGGTTTCTTTTCATAAGCAAAAAGTACCTCTTCTTAAAGTGCACTTTGCGGAAGTTTCACTTTTACAGTGGGTTTGAGTTAGGAGCTCTTTCTCACGCTGTAGCAGAGCAGTATTCACATCGAGGTGGTATATTTAGGGAGCAAGAGGCTGAATATTTGGAACTCGTTGCAGAATGGTTTGCTGGTAAAACACTGGTTTGTGGGAAGACTTTTTGTATCTAAGGTGGTGTGCAGTAGAGAAATTAAAAGACTCTGACTCACAGAAAGATTGAGTTCATGTGAAATTGCAGCACAGAAATTATAATAAATGCCTTAAGAGTATTTAAAATATGCTTCCATATGCCAAATTGAAGTAATGTGATGGGAGATTTTATGTGCTTCATATTGGGGTAGACGTTTGTTTAACTCCATTCACTGCTGTCCGAGAGGCCTCGTGTGGCAATCTCACTGTGTCAGCAAGTGCTCAAAAGGGGCTATTAAAACAAAACTCCATTCCTATGTAAAGCTGCTTACTAAGTGATTAGTTCTCTATGAAATGGGCCTTAACGTTGCCTGTCACAAGATTAGAGGGAGTATGAACAGCTGAGACACATAAATTACCTTGAAGAGTGCTGAAGCCTTTTTCTGTGGCATTGTGGCTAATGACTTTGCCAAAATGTACTGTGTTTTCTGTAAGAGAAACAACACAAAGCAAAGGGCATCCAGTCTTACTGCCTAAAATGTCCTTCAGAAGTAATTTTTCTTCCTGGCTCTTGTTTCTATTTGTTTATCTTCATTTCTTTTGAAATCCTTTCTGGTCTCTCATTTTTCCCTTTTCCCATCCCACAGAATGCTGATCACACCCAATAGTTGTAACAGGACTTGCACTGTGCAACTGACTTTGAGTGAAAGTGAATTGAGCACATGAGGATGATATTTTTCTGTCTTTATTTTTTTTTTTTCCTCCCCCTCCCTTTCAAACCAGGGCATATTAACAATAACACTTGCCAGTTCAGTAGTCTTCTGGGGTAAAAACTAAAAGATGCTGGCTAACAGAGCTAATGTTATTGCAGAAAATACAGTACTGAGACTAACTTAAATATTAATATTTAAAGTACTTTCCTTAACTGTCCTTTTTTTTTTTTTTTTTTTTTGCTATCATACCCCTCATTACTGTTGTGTTTGGCAAGATCCTGCAAGACTTTTGACCCCCCTTCACTACTGAGATTGATCAGTCCTGTTGTGCTTGTATTCATTTGTTTCTGGTGGTAGCTTGTCCTAAAATGTGTGTAGGAGAGCATTTTATGGTAACTGTGTAGTGCATGAATCTTTGTGAAGTTCAGAGAAAAACCCAAATTCAGTGAATGCCAAAAAATGCAAGTATCTAGCCATTGTTTAAAACTGCAGTGGTGCTATTTCTCTTGTGGCCTTTTAGACTTTTGTTGCCCTAAAACTCCATTTTACTGAGAAACCGTATTTGACTTGGATTTTTCTTGACAGGGTTTTTCTATTTTAAGCAGTTTCTAAATAAAGTTCTGTACTTCAAGAGTGTCATGTCTGCTGGAGTCTCTCGTGCTTTCAGATACAATTAGGCAGAGCTGAAGCTCATGGTAGTTTCATGGTGAAGCTTGCAGGACCTGGAATTTCAGCTTCCATTCTCCAGCCCCAGGCGTTGCTAACCTCAGTGGCAGTAATCTTGGAATGTTATTTGGAGTGTACTGAGGGGAATGGTTGCTTAAGTTGTGTTTTTTCCTCTATTTTTCCCTCCCACAAGATGTGAGTGTGGTGCTGACTTCCTCCTCCTCACGCTGTGGGAATGGGGTTGTGCAACAGGAATTCTGTCACGTGATTTCACGTGTGTTGAACAGGTTTTAAAACTGCTAGAACACTACTTTATGAGTTACAAACAAGATGTTCATTGTTTCTGTCACCAGGCTCTGTGAGCAGACTGTGAACTGAATGGACTTGTTTGATTTGAAGTGTGTGTCGTAGCTGAGCTTCATGTTCCTGTCAGCTGCATGCACAGACCACAGAGAAGTGCTCATGGGATGTATCTGACCTTAGAATGGGACGTGTGAGCCTTGTAGGGCTGTTTCCATGCTGGGGAGCACCTTCCATGCCTTACTCTGGAGAACAGGCACTGCTGGCACAGCTGGGGCTGGTCTGCACAAGTGCAGATAGAGAACCAGGGTGTGATGCACATAAAATCTTCTTTACCATTACTTCCTTGCTTTGAAGTCGGAAGCATATTTTTTTTCGACTCTAAGTACTCCATTATTCCAGCAACTCAAAGCAAAAGATGGAACTGGATGTGGCTGAAGGTGAAGATGATTTCTGGGAGGTCAAAAGTTGTGCATTGGGACCTGGTTGGTTCAAGTCTGTCTTTAACAGGATTGCACGTGTGGAACTGGGAAGCACCCAGGTCATCAGGTGGGTTGGTTTTGGTCAAAGCAAGTAAATAGCCTTTTCTGCTAGGAGAATGCCAAGTCAGA